TTGTTATAACTGGTCGGGTTGTTATAATCATGGTCGTGGTCATATAATCATGGTCGTGGTTGTTATAACTCGGTCGAGGTTGTTATAATCATGGTCGTGGTTGTAACTGGCGGTCGTGGTTGTTATAATCAGTCGTGCTGTTATAATCATGGTCGGTTGTTATAACTGGCGGTCGTGGTTGTTATAATCATGGCTCGTGGTTGTTATAATCATGGTCGGTTGTTATAATCATGGTCGTGGTTGTTATAATCATAGTCGTGGTTATAATCGGCGGTCGGTTGTTATAATCATGGTCGTGGTTGTTATAATCATGGTCGGGTTGTTATAATCATAGTCGTGGTTGTTATAATCGCGGCGCGTTATAATCATGGTCGTGTTGTTATAATCATGGTCGTGGTTGTTATAATCATGGTCGTGGTTGTTATAATCATAGTCGTGGTTGTTATAACATGGTCGTGGTTGTTATAATCATAGTCGTGGTTGTTATAATCATATAGTCGTGGTTGTTATAATCATGGTCGTGGGTTGTTATAATCATGGTCGGGTTGTTATAATCATGGTCGTGGTTGTTATAATCATGGTCGTGGTTGTTATAACCATAGTCGGTTGTTATTACTGCGGTCGTGGGTTGTTATAATCATGGTCGTGGTTATTATAATCATGGTCGTGGTTGTTATAATCATGGTCGTGGTTGTTATAATCATGGTCGTGGTTGTATAACTGCGATCGTGGTTGTTATAATCATAGTCGTGGCTGTGCTAACGCGGTCATGGTTGTTACAATCATGGTCGGGTTGGTATATCATGGTCGGGTTGTTATAATCATGGTCGTGGTTGTTATTATCATAGTCGTGGTTATATAATCATGGTCGTGGTTGTTATAACTGGTCGTCGGTTGTTATAATCATGGTCGTGGTTGTTATAACTCGGTCGTGGTTGTTATAATCATGGTCGTGGGCTGTTATAATCATGGTCGTGGTTGTTATAATCATAGTCGTGGTTATTATAACACGGTCGTGGTTGTTATAATCACGGGTCGTTGTTATAATCATAGTCGTGGTTGTTATAACTCGGTCGTGGGTTGTTATAACTGCGGTCGTGGTTGTTATAATCATGGTCGTGTTATTATAATCATGGTCGTGGTTGTTATAATCATGGTCGGGTTGTTATAATCATGGTCGTGGTTGTTATAATCATGGTCGTGGTGTTATAATGTATTGTTAAATCATAGTCGTGGCTGTTATAATCATAGTCGGCTATATAATCGGTCGTGGTTGTTATAATCATGGTCGGTTGTTATAATCATAGTCGTGGTTGTTATAATCATGGTCGTGGTTGTTATAATCATAGGTCGCTGTTATAACCGGTCGGCTTGTTATAATCATAGTCGTGTTATTATAATCATGGTCGTGGTTGTTATAATCATGGTCGTGTTATAATCGTATCGGTTGTTATAACTGGCGCGGTTGTTATAATCACAGTCGGTTGTTATAATTCGTCGGTTATATAATCATGGTCGGTTATAATCATAGTCGTGGTTGTTATTACTGGCGGTCGGTTGTTATAACTTAAATGTCATAATCGTTATCGTGGTTGTTATAATCATGGTCGGGTTGTTATAATCATGGTCGTGGGTTATGGTAACTGGCGGTCGGGTTGTTATAATCATGGTCGTGTTGTTATAATCATAGTCGGGTAACCGGTTGGCGGTTGTTATAATCATGGTCGTGGTTGTTATAATCATAGTCGTGGCTGTTATAATCATGGTCGGTTGTTATAACTGCTAGTCGGTTGTTATAATCATGGTCAGTTGTTATAATCATGGTCGGTTGTTATAACTGCGGTCGTGGTTATAATCGTAGCATGCGTCAAGTAGTTATCGCGGTCGTGGTTGTTATAATCAGGCGGTCGTAATAAATCATGGTCGGTTGTTATAACCATGGTCGTGGTTGTTATAATCATGGTCGTGGTTGTTATAATCATGGTCGTGGCTGTTATAACTGGCGGTCGAGTTGTTATAATCAGCATCGTTGTTATAATCAGCGTAATGCGATAATCATGGTCGTGGTTGTTATAACCATGGTCATGGTTGTTATAATCATGGTCGCGGGTTGTTATAATCATGGTCGGTTGTTATAATCATGGTCGGTTATGGTAATCATGGTCGTGGTTGTTATAACTGCGTCGCGGTTATAATCATGGTCGGCTGTTATAATCATGGTCGTGGTTGTTATAATCATGGTCTGGTTGTTATAACTGGCGGTCGTGGCTGTTATAATCAGCGGTCGTGGTTGTTATAATCATGGTCGTGTTGTTATAATCATGGTCGTGGTTGTTATAATCAGCGGTCGTGGTTGTTATAATCACGGTCGCGCTGTTATAATCATGGTCGTGGTTGTTGGCAATCATGGGTCGCATATAATCATGGTCGTGGTTGTATAATCATGGTCGGTGTTATAACGGCGGTCGTGGTTATTATAATCATGGTCGTGGTTGTTATAATCATGGTCGGTTGTTAAATTACCGTGGTTAAAATCATAGTCGTGGTTGTTATAATCATGGTCGTGGTTGTTATAATCATAGTCGTGGTTGTTATAACTGATGGTCGTGGTTATAATCATAGTCGGCTGTTATAATCATGGTCGTGGTTGCATAATCATATAACACAGTCGCATATAATCATGGTCGTGGTTGTTATAACTGGTCGTGGTTGTTATAATCATAGGTCGTGGTTGTTATAATCATGGTCGTGGTTGTTATAATCATGGTCGGGTTGTTAAATCACGGTCGTGGTTGTTTCCATAGAATCATGGTCGTTTGTTATAATCATAGTCGTGTTGTTATAATCATGGTCGTGGTTGTTATAATCATGGTCGTGTTGTTATAATCATGGTCGTGGTTGTTATAATCACGGTCGTGGGTTGTTATAATCATGGTCGTGGTTGTTATAATCATGGTCGTGGTTATTATATGGTCGTGTTGTTATAATCATGGTCGTGGCTAATATAACTGCGGTCGTGGTTGTTATAATCATAGTCGGGTTGTTATAACTGCGGTCGTGGTTGTTATAATCGCGGTCGTGGTTGTTATAATCATGGTCGTGTTATAACGCCGGTTGTTATAATCATGGTCGTGGTTGTTATAATCATGGTCGTGGTTATTATAATCATGGTCGGTTGTTATAACTGGCAGCGTAAGCATGTACCGGTCGTGGTTGTTATAATCATGGTCGTGTTGTTATAATCATGGTCGTGTTGTCATAATCATGGTCGTGGTGTTAACATATCGTGTTATAATCATGGTCGTGGTGGTCAGCAATCATGGTCGTGGTTGTTATAATCACATGGCCATAGTAAATCATCGTCGTTATTCGTTATAACTATCGCTGGTTGTCATAAATGGTCAGTTGTCATAAATGGTCGGGTTGTTATGATCGTATCACGCTGTTATAATAAACCCCACACTCATTCTTTATCTTCATTAAACCAGATTAACCACTTTAATAGGATTATACCATTAGGCACACCGACGAAACAATGAATCGTCTTATTCAGATAGAAGAAAGTGTAGATATTTGTTTTATTTTACAGATATTTAAGAAGTATGGTATGGTATTGTATGGTAGTATTGTATTGTATCCCTGACAGCGACGAATGAGGGTGCGGCAAGTCCATAGATTTGCATGGTTAATTAGGGTGCACCAAGTCCTCAGAGATCATATCGTCATCATAAATGGTTAATTAATGCCTTCCAAAGAAACCATCAACATGGGACCAGGTTTGTTCCACTTTACGAATTTTTTATCGTTTAAAACATCAGCAAAAGCCGCCAGTTCCCAGACAGACAGCTAGTCCTATAGTATATTAGATTACCAACTGGCAATGCAATATTTTTTCTTTTGTTTTATTTATTCCTCACATTTACTGGTACTACAGTATACATGTGACCCTGGTCCCTAATAGCCTTGGATAATGAGGAGTATGTATCGAAAAATATGTGGTGAAGTTGCCAGCTGGGAATGCATCCTCTATTTATATTAATTCTTATTGGGAAAATTGCCCCAATTTTCAGTTTCGTTAATAACAATAATTTTTAGTATCACATCCCTTGCGATAACTGGGGTATTCCTGTATAGTAATTTAATCACATTTCAATGATCAGATAATAAACCAGCATTCCCAGCACAGAAGGTAAAGGAATGGGTTCTGGAGTGTTGGTATTACAGTGGTAATGTGTGTATCTCTCAATAATAAGTCAAGAGTTAGAGTCCTGCTTGACCCGGACACATGTGAGAAGGGTATTATCCAGTGTGACCCTACCAAGCATCACAGTTTTCCTGGATTCCGGCTTCCTCCTGTACTGACATTGGATGGGCCAATTGCCCGAAGGGCTAGTAAGCGGACAAGTGGTAAAAAAAAAAAGATGAAAGGAAAGTAAAAGAAATAAACTGAATGAAAGAATATTGAGGGAACAGGATAAAAAGGATATGATTGAGAGCAAAATCTACATTATAAAGTGGACCAAGCAGCAGGATGAAGCTCTAATTGCATGGCGAAGGTTATCATCGTCCATGTTTGTCTATCTTTTAATTCCCCTGTATAAATGGCCCAATATTTTGTGACGTCTTCAATGGCTGCACTATGTCAGAGATGTCCATTAAACCTCGCCAGTGTCAACTTGACTTATGAGGACAGCTCAGCTTAGCATCGAGAGTATTGGCTAGGTTTTGCCTAGAGCTAGGTTAGGATGATTTAGGCATGTGCAGAGAATGGAGGAGACCGATTGGATCAGAATTTGCATTAGTCTGAATGTGGAGGGGAGATGACCCCAAAGATAAATCATGATGCAAGAAACCAAGCAGCTTGGAGAGCTGCTATCTGGTAATCATGTCTAATCTATGCAAGTGTGAAAAATGACTGAAAAAATGGTGATGATAATGACAAAATTCTTGGAATACCTAATTCATGCACCTAGTTTACCGATAAAACAATAACTTAATCTTTAAGCATTATTTGCTAAAAGAGCCTCGACCACAGGAGTTTTCAGTTCACAGAAATCAGTACTTGGGAGATTTAACCTGTACCAGTAAAAAATGTGCTGAGGCAATAAATTATAAGATATTAGAAATTAACTGATGGAAATACAGTAAATTATGCACACAAACTGTATGATACAAGACTGAGTTTCGAAGTGTAAGAGAACGAAGACACTTTAAAGTAAACTGATCAATTTGATATATAAAATATGATCAAAGGATTTGAATGACAAGGCTTTCTTGGAAAAATTTATCAAGTCATAAATTCAGTCTTTTATCATTTTACTGTCTTGTTATTTTAGTCATAACACCATATACCTGCATACAAGAAATTGTGCACCACTGCTAAAGAATATACACTAGACTTGATATACATATAAGCTGATAATAAGCAATTACAAACTAAATCATGGTCAGCTAATTATAAATTAGAATATTCTCATTCCTCTAAAGATGGAGAACTACTGTGTTTGCAATTTATTTTACTAAGTACAGTACTTACTTAAATTTGCCAGCGCTGAATTAAGAGAGGCAATAATGATGAGGTAACGTTGTTGCAGCAACACTTTATCACTCATGACAGATGAAAATATCTTGGCTGCAAATTCAAATGAACCATAGATAATGAAGAGGTATCGATTGTTTCTTCCCACACCAACCTCAAGTGAGAGTGATGGTAAGTAGTTCAAAAAGGATACACCCACCTGTAAAGTAAGAATGTGACACTTATTAACCAATAAAGATACTGTATAACTATTTCAACACTTTTAAAAGAGATTTAATGACAGGTATTACAAGCAAGTCCTGCTGAGTGAGCAACCAATGATTGAGGATTTGCTTTAATGAAAATTAAACAAAAGAGCTCTTATTCGATTTAAGGAGAAAAATTCGAGGTAAACCAGCTAAATTATCATTTATGGAGTCGGGCTGACCCAGCCTGTGTAGCCAGAGAGCCTAGACAACATGGTAGAGTTTATTTTCTTGGCGCAGTGCAAGCATTTGTGCTGCTACACAATTATCTTTTGTCAATTAGAAAGCATCGTGTGCTGCCCTTATATTGTTATAAAATAAATGAAAAGTAATGGTTCTGAGTGCAGTATTGTAGTACCAAGAGAAATATAGGTTTATAGTATCAATGACTGTTTTTCCTCTGAGATGCTGGCAGCTGCATACACCTGCAATTTGACTCAACCCTCCACTTCTTCATCCTATCTATTCATCTATCAGCACTTCAACTCTAAGTTAATTAGCATGAAAATAAAGAAGAAGGAGATATAAGGTAATAGTGGAGCAGATGGTTAGCACCCAAAGGCATTTATATAATTTTTTAATGTTTTTCACACTTGTTTGGATGATATTAACCATGATCATAAATCACTTGTAGTGGATAGGACATGGAGATGAGGGATATTGCAGGGTAAAATATGGCAAAACAATTATCCCTGTTAAACTAATCAACTAAGGTGGACGTAGAGTCGGAAAGTGGTGTACGTTTTTATTAAAGAACTATTCCATGGTAACCATCATCAAATTATGAAAAACACCTATCTTCATTCAAATTGCTATAACTTTGTTATTAAATATGTTAGATTGCTAGAAACACAATTCTGGTGTTGAATGAAACATCTGCGATTGTTCTTAACAACCATGCCCCCTATTGCTGTTGTTCAGCTAATTTGTATGTAATTATGACATCACAACAAGGAATATTTTTCTTAAATTATGTTTTGGTTTTCTGCTGTGCATTTGTTGCATCTTAGTGGCTCAAAATAGTGCTGCCTGGTAAGATATGCATGCATAAAGAGCTTATAAAAAATGTTGATTGTATGGTAAGTAGTTGGCAGCTATGAAACAGGGAGGTACTTCCGCCTGGGAAGATATTGGAAGCATAATGTGTTGTCTAATGGTAGACCCTGCTACCACAAGGCATCACGAAAATTGTGAGCTAGTCCCAGGTTGCTGATCTGTTTTTCTGCCACATTTACACACAATTGCAGTCTCAATTGTCTGTCTTACTATTGACAACACAACAAATATAACCGTACTAACTCTTGATCTGTTCTATTCATTCTATTTTATTCTCATGTGTTAGTTGATATTAATATTGAAGCGGGGCCTTCTCGGATGAGTCCCATTGGTCGGGAAGGTTGTGGACCCCAGGGCCGACATGATCATCATCAAACTACTGGGGCCTCAACTGACGCCACCGCGGTTGCTGGAGGATTGCCTTTTTTCAAACTTAATTTTTCCAACATTTGCGGCCTGAGATCCAATTTTCATTCTGTGGAGCACCATCTATTAACCTCTTCCCTCGACCTCTTACTACTTTCCGAACTTCAACTGACCAAAGCAGCATCACCCAAACCTTTTCAAGCCCCAACTACTGTACAACCTTTAAACCTCTTTCCGTTCTAAGGGAGGTGTATGCGCTTACTGCAACACACGTACACCTATAGCTCGACTCACGGATCTTGAATCTTCCCTTTATGATGTCATCTGGCTCAAAATATCTCTACCAACTATGACTATTTTTCTTTGTTTCCTATACTGTTATCTCAACTCTACCAACTATTTGGAACTCTTTGGCTATCTCACTTCCTGCCACGAGTCGTTGCTATCCACACACCCCAACACCGAGATCCTCTACCGAGGGGATTTCAATGTACATCACAGAGAGTGGCTTGGCTCTGCAAGGGATGACTCAGGTGGAGCTGAGGCGCTCTCTTTTTCCTTACTTAATGATTTGGAACAAATAATAAAACACCCAACACGTGTTCCTGATCGACACCATCAACTTGCTAACATTCTTGATCTTTGTTTTACCTCTAACCCCTCACACTATTCATACTCAATTTCTGCCCCCTTAGGGTCTTCTAATTACAATCTTATTTCTATTAAATCAAACTGGGCATGACCACCTCCCCCACCCCCCTTCTAAACGTCAACTATGGCACTATCGGAGGGCAAACTGGCAATTCTTCACCGACTTTCCTTGGGACGAACGTTGCTTTTCCACTCGGGACGCCTCGGTATGTGCTGACAGCATTGCTGGGGTTATACCAAAACTTTCACTTTACAATCTTGGTTTGATAGCTACTGCTCTCTTGTATGCAGGGGGAGAGATAGGGCATATCAAGCTATGAAACTATCTCCTCCTCCTATTACCCAGTCCTCTTTCATTACTTCTAGGAATCGTTGTAAGGCTATTCTTCGTAGGGCCAAGCGGAATTTTATAAAAAAGAAAGACTGATGTCCTGACTAATTCTTCTTTTGGTCCTTAACCAAAAAAATCTGTAATAACTTCTGCACTCCCCCTTTTCCTCATCTCTTCTGACCTGATAACTCTATAGCCAACTCTCCCCCTGACAAAGCCAATCTCTTTGGCCACTTATTCTCCTCTAACTCCACCTTAGATGATTCCAACTCTATCCCTCCCACCCCTGCTCCTCCTACTGAACCTGTGCACCTCCCTATAATCTCCACTCGTAGGGTTGCTGGTGTGTTATCCAGGTTGGATGTGGGTAAGGTGCATGGACCGGACGGAATACCCCCTCGTGTTCTGAGGGAGTGTGCTGAAGTTCTGGCCCCTGTGCTTGATCGCCTCACTCGCCTTTGCCTCAAGATCCAAACTTTTCCTTCTTCTTGGAAGCATGCCTTGGTTCAGCCCATCCCGAAGTAGGGTGACCATTCTAATCCCTCTAACTATCGCCCCATTGCCATAACTTCTTCCCTCTCAAAGATTTTCGAAACTATCTTAAACTCTCATTTTTTCCGTACCCATGAACGCCATTCTCTTTTGCCAGATCACCAATATGGCTTTCGCCAGGCGAGATCTACTGGTGATCTACTCTCCCACTGCACCCATCTTTGGTCATCCTCTCTTAGGGATTATGGGGAACAATTGGTGCAGAGCTCTTCCAGGGAAGAGAGATTTCCAGCTAACCAGACGACTTTCTGAAACCCGGAAAAAAATCCTTATCCCCAGAATATTTTCCGGTTACTGGGAAAAGTTTCCGAGTGTCTAAGCTAGACATCTTGCACACACAGACACTAGCCCACTTCCTCAGAATGTTTCTGGGCGCTGGGGATGTTTTCCTTGAGTCTAAACTACCGGAGTCTGTAAATGCAGTTCTAATTAAGTTAGAAACTCCATTTCTTTACTATAATAATACAGAATAGTTTATCCAAAAGTTTGGTAAAAAATTATATTTGAAAATTAAAAATCCATATGATATGGACGTGAGTGAAACTGTGTGTTACAGCAAAGACTGGTATTTTCCACTTCCATGGAGCTGTGGGGGATTAGAGGGTCTCATGTACCTGACCTGACGCCATGTCAGGTGGAGGTATATGGTGGGGGATTAGTGGTCTCATATTACTGACCTTCTGATGGAATGTCAGGTCATCCTTTCTTGGCCGGGGGATTAGTGGGTCTCATGACCCGAAGAAGTCTTGAATAAACACGAAACCTAAAGTATTTTTAGAGAGATTGTGATAAGCATAAGTATAAATGAGCTAAGTTGCATCCCTTCAACATTACATTACTTAACATTTATAAATATGGAGTGAGAAAGCAGAAAGGTGTGGGTGATAAGAGAGATGCAGTGGAAATGAGTGTTGCCAAGCACTCCTCAACAGCTGGTATTTAACTTGAAGTCACACACACACGCAAATTTGTGACACAGTAAGACCCTCATTCCTTATGTCTGCTGTCTTAATTCCCTTGCTAGGAGTATGTGAGTGGTGTTGGAGTGTGTGTGGGGAGGGTGTGATGTTGGGGTGTATGTGGAGAGGGTGTGTGTGTTGCTGGTTGTTGAAGTGTGTGTGTGTGTGTGTGTGTGATGGTGTGTAATATTTGGCTGAAGAGTCGAACTTTTGGGGGTGAGGGAGGGAGGGGGGTGAGGGAGGGAGGGGGGAGGTGAGCGGTCACTTTTATCCCTCACCCCCTTCCTCACTCAAGCGTGGCTAATTGTGATAGGAAGATGAATTTGATACCATAATGATCCTTAAAAAATTCTCTACGAAGCCCTCAGGACTGAACTCCTTCAGGCAGGTGTCCTGCCTAGCAGGACACCTGCAAAGGAGGAGCAGGCGTGGAGAGTGGTTACTTCCAAGGGGACTAGGGTCAGACTCAGAAAAGCTGACCAGGGTGTGGAGTGCAGTAACCCCTACCAAGTGTTGGAGGAGGATAGCGAGGAAGAAAAGAGGCAGGACGATGTGGTGCCACGGGAGAAAAGGGCAGTTGTTCAAACCCTGCCCAGTGGTAAGGTCGTGGTAGTTGGGGACAGCCAGGTGAGGTTCTTAGATAGGACTTTTTGTGCAAGAGATAGGAAACGTAGGACTAGGGTGTGTTTTCCTGGGGCTGTGATAGGGCATGTAGCTGAGAGGATAGATAGCGTTTTGTCAGGGGAGGGTACCAAGCCAGTAGTGTGTCTTAGTGTGGGAGGTAACGACATTGAATTGAATTGAAACAGTTTATTTAGCCAGAAAAACACAGATACAAAGTGGATAATAATAACAAATATTAACATGGCTGAGCTCTCTTTTAGGCACCTGATATATACTATACATTTATCTCAAGGAAGTATGATGTAACATTTAGGTTAGGAGTGAGGAACTTTTCAAGATGTGTAGGGAGGCACTGGGGAAGGTTAAAGATAGGGGAGGGATCCCGATAGTATGTGGTGTCTTGCCGAGAAGAGGA